GGGGGGGGGGGCAGTCAAGGGATTGCAAGTTTTGGCCGCTGATTTACAGCCCCCATGGCCGTGGGATTGAGGGAGACACGGCCGACTGCTGGTGCCTTCGGATCTTCGCGCCGCCCCCTTTCAAGGGGCCGGCCCTTGGCAGGATCACGCAGCGGCGGAGAAGAAGCTGCGAGGAAGCCGTGAGGAAGCCACGGGACAGGCTGACACCCGTCTTACCCCAGCTCTCGCCCCTGCCTCGCGCCCCGAGGCGACCCGGGCGCCCAAATCCTGTGCAGAATGCCACAGAATACAACCCCTTTCCGTGAAACCCAGCACGCCGTCCGTGCCCCATGCAGTGGCACATTATCAGCACCCCCTGCTGACATCAACACGAGCCTGCCCGCCCCGGAAATCATTAAGTTCGCCGCCCACCTCCGCGCCGCCGTCGTCGTCGCCGGCCGTGAGGGCCGCCAGCAGCTTGGCCAGCAGCTCGGGGGGCGGCGGCTCCCCGGGCTTGCCGGCCGCGCCGCGGGCGGCGGAGGCGCGGAGGAGCTCCAGCGCCGCGGGGCAGAGCGTGCGGGAGTCGCAGACCTGGGGCGAACGAGTGAGAGTTTGCATTTTGTGTCCAGGCAGATGCTGGGGGTCCAGGGGTGCTGATTAAGAATGGGCGGTGAGGGCTGAAGTTGGGTCTGGGAACGAGCCCCCGCTGGTGCGGGTTTCTTCGGAGTGGCGCAAATCACCACTAGCTCTCCAAACATGTGTGGTTATAACCAGTCGCGCCCGACCCTCCTGCGGTCCAAAACCTCGGGAAGCCACGTGCCTCAGGCCGCGCCGACCTTTCTTGCCACAACGTGGCTAAGCGCTAACGAAGCCAAAAGACCCCAGTCCCATCCCCGACCCCACCTGCCAGAGCATCACGATGACCGTCACTGCCTTCCACCCCTGCCCAGCCCCGTCCACCGTGACCCTTAACGTGCCGTGTTTTACTCACACATACACCCACACCTTCAAACACAAAAGCACATGCAACCAGAAAATCACACTCACACACACGCACGCACACGCATCACACGCACACACATCCACCCAAACCCACACACAGACCCCCACCTGCCGCAGCCTCATGATGACCGCGAGAATGTTGGTGTACTCGCCAACAGCAGAGCCCTCGGTGTCATCCAGGGTGCGGCCCACCAGGGCGCGGCTCTCAGCCTCCAGGGCCTCATACTCTGCCGCGTCCTCGGGGCCCAGGTCGACCTGGGAGGTTAGAGGGAGGGAGGGGGTGCGCTTTTGTGTGCGTCGAGAGAGGGGTGAGAGAGCAGGTGTGTAAAAAGTGTGTGTGAGACGTGTGTGTGTAAGACGTGTGTGTGTGTGCGTGTGTGTAAGACGTGTGTGTGTGTGTGTGTGTTTGCAGGACGTGGGAGTGTGGGTTGGGGGCAAGGGGAGACAGGGTCGGGATGTGGGTGCGTGGATACACGTGCGCATGCATGCGTGAGTATGGTGTGTGCATGCATATATGAGTGTGTGTGTGTGTGTGTGCGTGTGTGTGTGTGCGCGCGCGCAAGGGCGTGTGTGTATGTGCCTAAGTTTAATTGCGAGTCGATGCGTGTGCATGTCTGTATCACTCAAGGGATGACCTCGTGCCAGACGCCCTCTTCCCGCACTGTGGCATGTGTTGTGCCCTCACGTGCAGCAGCATGGTGGTCTTGCGGGGCATCTCCACCAGCGGCCGGCCCCCCAGCCCGGGCGTGGTCTTGGTGCGCCGCAGCGCCAGCGCGCCCATCAATATCTGTGGGGGCGCGAGAGGTGCAGCGAGGCCACATGGGATGACAAAGCGCAGGCGATGGGCATGCACGTGTGGGCAGCAACGCGCGTCACGGCGCCCCTTTTCCCATTTTCCCTTTGGCCCCGCCCCTGTGCCTCTTGCTGGCCGGCCCTGCGCCGACCTGCAGCCGCATGAGCCCGCGCTCGTCGTTGCTCTTCAGGGGCCGCTCCAGCAGGCGCCGCCAAAACGCCCTTTGGGAGGGTTTCACGGGGGGAAGATGACGAGGCAGGGTGGTGCAAAGTGGGGCCGCCTCGAGCGCGAGCACTATGGCTGGATGCGCCTGAGCCGTGCAACGCCCCGCGCTCCAATACGAGCAACCCCGGCCCGTCATCCCCGGACGCGCTGGGGGGCAGCTGCCGCACAGCTCCAGGCCTTTCAGCTGTGAACTCATCTCCAGCACCCACACGCCCCACCCTCCCCGCACGTCCCGCGCGGTTCGCCTGCACCCCCAATCGAACCCCTGCCGCATGCCGGTGCACCCGCACTCCCCTTATCGCCCCTGCGCCCCCACCTGTCGTTGAGGGGCTCGACCCCCAGGAAGCACATGAGGCTGAACAGGTCACCCACGTTGTTCTTGAGTGGGGTGGGGTGGGGTTGGGAATGGGGTGGGGTTGGGGATATCTGTGTATCTGTGTGCGTGCATCGCCAGAGTCAGAGAGCGGGGCAAGCGGGTGGGGGTGCCGTGCTGGACTGCTGCAATACTGGGCGCGGCGTGGGGGTGGCGCACAGGGGCCAATTGCGAGCTGATGGGCACTTTTGCATGCAGTTTGGGAGGCCGCATCAAACTTCGTATGCCCAGGCTTCATGGAGACCAATAACAAATTACGGCTGGAGCTTTGAGGTCCTGGGAGCGCCCTGGGGCCATGCATGTGGGGAGCGTGTCGGCAGGCGGCCTCGCCAGCCGCGGGCCAGCTTCCCGGCAGGTGGCTGTGGTGTCTGGTAGTGCGGGGCCGGGTCGAAGCCTCAAAACCCCCGAGAGGGCCCCAAAGCAGATCTTTAACGAGAAGGGCGTTCGCGTCCCCCACCAAACAATCACCTGCAGCGGCGTTCCTGTCACGATCCAGCGCCGCTCCGCCTGCAGCTTCAGCGCCGCCTTGGGGGCAGGGGGGGATTGTTGTTGTTGTTGTGTGTGTAGGTATGTGTGTGTGTATGTGTGTGTGTGTAGGGGGATGAGGGCAGAGTCAGAGGGAGTGGTGAGGCGAGGCGAGTTCTGGGGTTTAGGAGCGGGCAGATGAGGCCAAACTGGAAACAGTGTGGTGCACGTGGCGTCTGAAGCCGATCAAGCGTCACCAGAAAGCGGAGCAAGGGGGCCGACCGCGTCAACCCGCAGCACAGGCCTTCGACAGTGCCATGAACACGCGAACGCGGTGCCGCTCCGCACGCCCGCCCGGGCGGTGGCGGCCGGCCCAAGCGTGAGCCCCCAGGAAGCTGAAGCCCGCCCCTTGCCTCAGCCCGCCCCCTCGCCCTGCCCAGTTGCGCGGGGTCGTGCCGTCCGCACCTGCGCCTGGCGTGTGGCGGGGTTCTTGATGGTGTGCCCCTCGTCCAGCACCACGCGGCACCAGGGCACAGCCAGCAGGCCGCTGCGCGTGTTGGAC